CCAAAACCCCCCCAAAAACCCCCAAAATTCCCATTTTCCACCCCAAACCCCCCCAAAAAAATTCAGCTTACGCAGCCCCAGATCTCAAAATCCGCCCCCCAAACCTTCCAAATTTCCCCTTTTCAGCCCAAAATTGGGAAAAGGACCCAGAAATCCCGGGAAAAATTCTCCCCGGAATCCTGGGAAATCACCCCAAAAATTCCGGGGGAAAATCTTTCCCCAAACCCTGGGAAATTTTCTTCCAAAAAAACCTCAATTTTTCGCCAAAGTTTTCACCCAAAAATTCCCCAAAAATTCCCCAAAATTCACCAAAAATCCCCGAAAATTCCCCAAAAATTCCCCCCAAAATTCCCAAAAATTCCCCCAAATTCCCCAAAATTCCCGAATTTCCCGAATCCCACCTGGGGCACCATATTTTTGAAGGATTCCATGATTTTGGAGCTCTTGGCCTCCTGGTAGTAGGAGAAGCAGCCGGTGATGATGACGACGGCGGCCAAAACGATGCCCAGGTACAGCTGGGGGACCCCAAAAAAATCGGGATTCGGGGTCATTTTTGGGGTCTTTTTACCCCCCCAAAAAAAACTCCGAACCTCCACCCGAAATTCACGTTTTGACGCTTTTTAAAGGTCAAAAAAATCGCCCCAAAATCTCAGAAAAATCCCCCAAAAAATCAGCACAAAAATCTCAAAAATAAAAAAAATCCAAATAGGCTCAAAAAAAAATCCCAAAACAACAAAAAAATTAAAAAAATCCCAAAAAATCCAAAAAAACCACACCAAAAGCGAAAAAAATCCCCAAAATTAAAAAAAACCGAAAAAACCCCGAAAAAACCCCCAAAAACCCGAAAAAATAAAAAACCCCGAAAAAACCAAAAAAAATCCCCCAAAAATAAAAAAACCCGAAAACCTCCCCCAAAAATCCCCCTAAAAAACCCCGAAAAAATAAAAATAAACCCCGAAAAAAACCCAAAAAATCCCCCAAAATAAAAAAACCCCGAAAAAAAAAAAGCCCCCAAAAATAAAAAAACCCAAAAAAACCCTGAAAAAAATAAAAAAAAATCCCCCCCAAAATTAAAAAAAACCCAAAAAAATCCCCCAAAAAATCCTCTAAAAATAAGAAAACCCCTAAAAAACCAAAAAATTTTAAAAAAACCCCGAAAAACCCCCAAAAAATCCCCCCCAAAATTAAAAAAAACCAGCAAAAAATCCAAAAAAATCCCCCAAACCCCCCAAAATGCGTTTTGTTTTGGCGGGGCTCTCACGTTGTCGTTGGAAGGTTCGTCCTCGGTTCCCGCCTGGATGCCGTAGGCCAGGAAGCAGAGGATGGCGCCGATCCAGAGCAGGATGGAGAAGCCCCCGAAGAGCTGCCGGCAGAACTTGACCCACTCGGGGGTGGTGGGAGGGGGCGTCAGCGCGTTGGGACCGTCCCGGGCCAGGATCTCCTGGGCCTTGCTGTGGGTCAGACCCTGCGGAGGGGGGAAAAGAATCCCGGGATTGGCGGGAATCCGGGATTTCCCCGAAATTACGAGGAGATTCCCCGGAAATTCCACGAAAATTCCGCAAAAATTCTGCGGAAATTCCGTGGAAATTCCACAGAAATTCCGCAAAAATTCCGCAAAAATTCCGCGAAAATTACACAGAAATTCCGTGGAAATTCCGCAAAAATTCCACGGAAATTCTGCTAAAATTCCGCAAAAATTCCACGAAAATTCCGCTGAAATTCCACGAAAATTCCGCAGAAATTTCGCAAAAATTCCGCAAAAATTCTGCGGAAATTCCGCGAAAATTCTGCTGAAATTCTGTGAAAATTCCACAAAAATTCCGCGGAAATTCTGCGGAAATTCCGAGGAAATTCCACAAAAATTCTGCAAAAATTCCGCGGAAATTCCGCGAAGAAACGGTGAAAAACGAAGGGAAAGCGACCTAAAAACGCCCCAAAACCAGCAAGAAAAGCTCCCAAAAGGATGGAAAAAGAGGGCGGGGGGCGGCCAGGAATTCCTGGAATTCCCAAAATCTCCTGGATTTTTCCCTAAAAAAACTCTTACCTGGACGCAGTCGGTGTTGTATTTCCTGCAGACCTCCTCGATCGACATCTTGTGCTCGGTCTGGGGTGGGGGGAGAGGAGCCCAAAATTCCGGGACCCCTCCCCAAATATTCCGGGACCCCTCCCCAAAAATCCCGGACCCGACCGGGCTCCCGAAAATCCCAAAATCCTTGAAAATTCCCCCCCAAATCCCCTGATTTCACCCCAAATCCCCCCAAATCCCCCAAATCCCCTCATTTCACCCCCAAA